GCTTGGTTCTTAGTTGCTCTTTGTTGGTATTGTTTGAAGTCGATTCAACTTTTTTTTGCAGTATTTATCTTGTTATTTTGGCAGACTATTCTTTGAGTTTGGTGCCATTTGAATTTAAAGCAAATATTCTAAATATAATATTTATAAAAAAATTAGGAATATTATCGGTAAAGTCAGTGATACTTAAAAGAAATATTAGATAAGTTGATTGTACTAAAACTTCTCTCTTAACACAATTTAAGCGCCAGACCCTTGTCGGACTCCCATTATTACATTTTACTACATTTGTAAGTTATTGAAAATTTACATAAAATAATATAATTGTTAAACTTAATTGCTCAACATACGAGTACATCTTTTATTTCTTATTGCCTGCAATTTGGACAGTTGTTACTTTTAAAATAAATTTAAATTTATGAATATTTTAAATCTCTTTTGATAAGCCATAATACCAAATTCTTTCTTTTCTTTGTAAGATATGATTCAATAAAAGTAAAATGTGCCCAACTGAATGAAAGAAAAATATCGTTTGAATAACTGAGGGTTGAACCTACTTCGAATGTTATTAACTCCATGGACATTGTACAACACTAGCTAAATTATGACTGTGTCACATGCAGCTGGCCTTAAAAATGTACCAATTTAGAACAGGCTACGTTTTTCAACTAACTTTGTTTAATATTATGTAGCTATTTGGAACGAAAAAATTCAATCGCTCTTTTTAAAAATGTTTAATTAACAAATTTATTTCTATGTTAGGTTGTGGCAGGTATTACGATATTATCATGTTTTAATTTTTATCCTTTAAATAGGTCCATAAAGGTGGTAGGCTTCTTCATACCATAGCAAAAAATTCCCGTTAAACAAACGAAGCATCTCTAATTTTCTTTATGGAACATAAATTATCATTATTATTTTATTTTATACTTCTTTCTAACAAAAATTAACATTTATCTATCAAAAATTACCCAAAGCTTCCTAATTTGTAATTTATTTTCTTAAACGAATTAACTATGTCAGAGATATTCTATATCTAACTTACAAATACACAAACATTGTTTATGTTTACAACTTACTATCCATGATATACAATTAATTATGTTTACGGTCAGCCTGTGACCACAGCCGGTATAACCTGGTCAAAACGTCAGGCAATTCAAAGGTAGGATACTTAACATCTATCTTGAGTGTGTGGTGACGGATTAAGAATACGGAATGTTACTACCCGTATTCATCCCGTGGGTGACTTAAGAGACGACTAAGAGAGCAAACTTTGCAGGACAACAGCACTACAAACAGAAGGAAAACGTGTTATAGCAGGCCAAAACCTCCTCTCTATGAAAGGCCTATTTCCTGTTGTAGATATTTAAGACTGTTGATGATGAGCGTATTAATTCCTGTAAACCAAATTATTAATTACTAACTGACCCGGAAAACGTTGTTCTGCTATATAAATAATCAAAGAAATCAAATCGCGATAGGATAAAAAATTCTTTACAAACCATTTTCATGACTATCAAATATACAAAAACACTTTATTGTAATCATTCGAGACGGAGGTATGCGACCACAAATACCATGACATGAGATATGTAATATATTTTTCATTTGTAATGTTACCATGGACTTAAGTAGATTTATACAAAAAATATATATCAACTATACAGATTAATAGAGAAACGTTACAGGATGTGCCAGTGATACCTTTGACCATGGATCAGAAAGTTAACGCCCCTTTAACCTTGGTAGGCCCGTGACCACATACCACCGACAACTTTTGTCAAGTTGTAATGTTTGTGAAAGAATCTTGAAACAGCAAGTTTATTTCTGTACATAAAACCTAGCCTTAGAAAAATAAAGTTAAATAAGGCTTTTGAAATATTTTCGGAGAAAACGGAATCCTTCTTAATAACGTATTCATAAATATAAATCAAATTTTTGAAATACGAATAAGACGACATGATGTTGTATTTGTGTCAATTTCAGTCACTTGTTGCCGAGATAAGTTCGTCATCCCTAAATTAGATTAATTTGTTAATAAATGTATGAAGTCGAGCCTTCAGTAAACCTCGGTATATTTGATAAAATATTATACGAGTAATTTTAGAAATGCCTACTTTGTTTCTCTTGGTTTCTTCTTTAAATAGAATTAACTATGGACTTCTGGGTTACTGTTGAGAGCTAAAAGAAATATACCCATAGTTGACTGAGAACAGTTATAATAATGAATTATTATTGGCCGGAGTATGTTAATTTTGAAGTTGAAAACTTATTAAAGTAAACGACGTAATAATATTTATCTCAAAAAATAAATTTAATTACTTCTTTCAATATGAGAATCAACAACTAGCTTCCATTTAAAAATAAGAATTCTGCCACCTTGAATCCCACTTGCTTTGTACTAAATTATTATGATGAATGTTTCTTTATATAAAGTTATTTTTATCCTTCTTTAGGGAGCACAATTTGTAAACGTAAACATAATAAAGATTTTTTAATCAATTAATGCTCGCGAATTGTTGTTTACTTTACTCGCTGCCAGCTATGCTCGGCACATATCAGACGGCTCTTCTTTCTTCTTCACAGACTCACAGAAGACCGTTGCTAAGCAATTCTTTTGTCGCTTTTCGCCGTGTGGTGAGGAAGGAGGGAAGGAGTTTCACAAAGAATAAAACTTCTTGTTTGTCGACAGTATACAAAATTTTCTGATTTCTTGCTTGGTGTTATTTAAATAATAATATGAATTAGTGTCAATTTCAAGTTCCATCTCATCTTTTTTTTTTGTTCTATGTTTCTAGTATTTTTCTTTTTTTTCTTTTAAACTCACATTTATTTTAGTAAGTACCATAGGTTTCTGGTTTTTGTTTGTTAGATTTTCTGTGTGTTTTGGTTAGAGTTGCTTTATTTGTAAATTTCGAAATCAACAGAACTGCTTCGTAAGAATATGTCAATTTAGATCGATACCATATTCATCTTCGAGTCTATTTTTTTGGTGGGTTTCAACGCAATACGTTCTCTTCTTACATTACATACATTACATTATTCTTGCACGACGTCGTGCAGCAGCACAGAGCCGTGATTTTTTTTTGTTTTTAGAAAGACAACCACCGCGTTAAGAATTTATCCTGTGTCACGGGGGACTTTAAAAAGAAACATGAAAAGGACACAAAGAACACCCGCAACTCAGAACAGCAATTTGTAGATCACTTGTGTTATCTCACATGGGGATCGAGCCCACAGCACTCCGCGCAGTATAAAGCGGCGTGGCGACCGCTTAAACCACTATGCCATTAGTGCAGCAATTGTGAGTCGCACAGGGTTCAGATCTGTATAAAGGTTGTCTGTAAGAGATCACCGTAAGCGATAAAACCGACTACTGTTATACCGAAATGTATATAATACCTGTAGAAATAATACTGCAACAGTGTACAATAATGAGATGAAAAACAAAATAAATAAATAACTTCGAACCCGACCTGACCTCTACAATATTTAATCATGTACCACTTTACTACTTACTCACATTCTCTCTTGTGCTTTTTTACAGAGCCCAATAGTATTTAAAAGACACACATAGTTCATTGTTGTTAATTTTTTTTTATGGATTAGGGGGCAAACGAGCAGACGGGTCACCTGATAGAAAGCGACTACCGCCGCTTATGAACGCCTGCAACTCAGGAGCCACTAGCGCGTTGCCAGCCAACTACCACTAAAATTGAACTTGCACAACCAATTCTTCTACCCATTCTCGACTATGCCGATGTCAGCTATCTAGATTTGAACGAGGACCAATTTGATCAACTTCAGAGACTTCAGAATTTCTGTATACGATTTATTTTCGGTTTGCGCAAATATTATCATGTTTCCAAATTTTGTACAAAACTGAAGTGGCTCCCAATTCGGCTTCGCCGGAATACTCACATCCTGTCATTACTGTATAATACTCTATTTAATCCTACAACCCCTATCGACGTAAAGAAGCGATTCGCATTTATTCATGATACACATACTCGATACTTAATCAGAGAGATCATCGGAAAATTTGACCTTAGAAATTCCAACACACTCCACAACTTTTACCGATACTTCTTTTACGGTGAAAGCAGCACGCCTCTGGAATTCATTACCGGAAGCTATAAGGCAGGCAAAGTCAGCAGGTACTTTTAAAGAAGTAGTTAAGGATCACTATTTATCTCTGTAATAACTATGTAATAAATTAGTATGTGTATGTATGTATACATATTTATATATGTACGAGTATGTAAGTGTATGAATGTATATTCATGTATGTGTAATGTATGTAAACCATTGTATCACTGTTTTTTTTTGTATGTATCATCGCATGTATCCTAATTATGGTGTACAATAAATAGTACCTGTCTATGTATATATCTACGCTCTTTTCTTGAAGGTTTGAAGGTCGTATCGGTCCGGCAATGACGCAGCTGATAACTTGTTCGACATATTGGTAGTGCGAGGCAAAAAGTGCCTTGAAAAGTGCACACTGGTGGAACGCCAATTATCCAAGTGGTGGAGATGAAAATTTTGCCGAGTGGAACGATGGCGGAAAGTTGCGGCCGGTATTAGTCCGAACAATTCCTCGGAGCACTCTCCATGATATATATATAGTTTGTTTGCCCTTTCGTTTAATAAGGCTCTAGCCCTTGGAATCGTTGTGGATGGGCACACGCTAATGATGGATTGAATTCATTTTGCTAAATATTTGACCAAGAGATAGATATTTTGACTTGACTTGACGATTTGATGTAGTGACACTAAAATACAAACAATAAGCAAAACTTGGTATGAATAATCAACGTAAAGGATGTTTGAAAATACATTGTGTGGTTAGAATCCGGTTAAAATGTACTAAAAAAGTCTGATATACTTAGGGAATAGACAGTAGGTGTGGAGTAAAGCGCGTGTCACGGTGTCAGTTATTTTACGGTGATAGAGTTTACAAACTTCTAAATATGAATGGCAGAACTTTAATACGCATAATGGAAATGTAAGTACGGAATTTTCATTGTGTGTCAGTATTATTAATATCGTACTAGTAATTTTCTTTAATAGTTCCATCACTTTTTTTATTTTATTTTGCATTTCTGACTACTTATTGAATAAAAATTATAGATATATATATATAAGACCCTAAACTTAATTACTACAATATATTTGATGCTTTAATTTTCTGATAATTAGTTGTTTAGGCACATGAAAGCTTATCCTCTCAATGCAAAAATATATCGCGGCTTGGGGTTTTTTTTTTGACGTGTAGTGAACTTTATTTTACGCAAGGTGGTAGGTAGACCTTGGGTAAAATAAAGTTTTCCGAGTGAAAGAGAGAAAACAAAGACAAGCATCACTAAAATACACTGGTAAAAAAACATGAAGGTACCCATTTGGAATACGGATACTTCGACGAGAGTACTTATTTAATGAAGCACTCTTTACGACTGTAATTAAGAAAAAATAAACATAATAAGGTGAATTTTTTTACAAAATTTGGTTCAACGGCATGCGTTTTTGAAACATCTCATCATAACAATTCCTATCATGACAACTTTGTTTTACTACCATTAATTTTAGTCTAGTGACTGATTAAGAATACGGAATGTCACTACCTCTATTTATCCCGCGGAGGTCTTGAGAGCCAACTAAGGGCGCAAAACAAACAAAACAAAAAGAAGGAAAACTTGACACAAACCTTATACCAACCCGTTTGGCCAGCGTGGATTAGTTAGCACAAAACCTCCATTCTAAGGAGAGTGCCAGCAGTGGACTATTAAAGGCTGTTGATCATCATCAACAGTTCAGTCTTCATTATCACCATAATGAAGATGAATTTTAATAATATTTTCAATTTAGCTATTAGATAGTTGCGATCAGTCTTTAAATTAAAACATTTTTTTGTCGATATTGTTGTTTCATTGCTATTTACCATATATGAAGTTTTATATCTTAATATAGAAAGTAAATATAAAAATTGTTTCAGAATATATTCATTACCTTATATGGCTCTCATATCAATGCTATTCGCCTATTTCACGTGTGCTGAAGGAAATACGAGAAAAACAGAAACAGAAACTAGAATACCTGTTCTACTAGAGTGGGAAGAATCAAATGAGACAGTATTGTTTTACCCCGACAATATAACCAATTCCGATCAAAATGATCCGTTTTGTGATAGAATCGTGGCTATCACTTTATTCGAAGCACAACCTGATGGTTCTCCTTATATAAATATAGCTATTGGCGTATTATTAGACGAGAGTCGCATTCTAACATCTTTTAATCCATTTAGGGAAATGATAAAAAATAAAAATGAAATGGCGAAGATTAAGTTTACGTTTATGTCAAGCCGAAAATCTTACATGTCTGCATCGAATTCAAACGTCGAATATTATGGCACTTTTACTAGAACCATTGGATGTGTACGTAGTGTAATTCCCATGAAGGATGATGAAATATTGTTTGATCAGTGGCACGATCCAAATCAAAAACACAGTCCAGTTCATGACTTATTGGTTTTAGGAACAAATTCCCCTGTAAAATTGGGTGATTTAGGAAACAAAACCGTTGGAGTGGACGATGAAAACCGCAAAACTGATATAGTAGAAGCTGGGCCAATAATAACGAAATTCGGAAGTGTTAGCACTTACCCTGATCAAGAATTGAAGTTAATTTCTTTAGGTCTGACATCCTATGAACCGATTTCCGTGTACAAAACAATAGAATTTGCAATCATTGATCAAAGTTATCTTGTAGATTGTAACTTTTGGCTACCAAAGTCCTGGGGATATTTTATTTGTATGAGGAATAATCCTAAATTTACAGGATTTGCCTCTAGCGCAATGTTGTTCTCGAATGAAACGCTTATTGCCATCGGCAGTTTTACGATTTGGAGAGGAGCAGTTAGTGTATTGGTGTTTACCGACGTCAGACCTTATGCTAGATTGATAAATAACACATGTACAGAAAACGACGCAGCAATTCTTTCCAAAGCACATGGATGAAAGTATATACGTACCGAAATTGTTTAAATCCATACTAATCTTATAAATTCGAAAGTCAAGTCACGTTAAACCGCTGAACCGATTTCGATGAAATTCGGTATAGAGATAGTTTGAGGTCCGGGAAAGGACCTAGGATATCTTTTATCCGAAGAATCATCCTTTAAGGGGGTGGAGAGATCCTAGACAACTTTTATAAAAACATATGAACTTTTTTTGTAAATACATTAATATAAATATATATATATATATATACTAGGCTCCACCCGCGTAAATGTCCTTTATAAGTAAAGTGCGGTAAAAAGCAGCCCATGTCTTTTCTCAAAAATCAAAGTAACTTCTGCACCCCAACTGCACCCCCCTTTTCACTCTGTTAAAAGATGATTTTTTTGATGAAAACTACCCGATGTCCTTTCCCAGGACTCGGACGATCTCTGCACCAAATTTCATCTCAATAGGTTCAGCGGTTTAAGCGTTAAGCGGTAACAAACAGAAAGACAGACTTTCGCATTTATTTTATTAGTATTTATAGAAACACACACAATGTTTGACTTAAGCGGGAATGGACGTAACAGTCCGTTACACAAACCACTATGCCTACTATATGTAAGGTCCATAAAATAAATGTGTGTTAATCCTAATAGTTCACATATCTGACCCTGTCCAGAGGTTATTATCCTTCTTGATTTATAGAATTTGTTAGAAGCCGATGTACACACAGAACTCTTTACATTCTGTCAAGTTCGATCTATGCAGAGAATGTATAATACAATACCTCTCAGTACCTCTTGGTAGAAATACATTGTCTGTCTGTTGAATTTTATCTGAAGTTTATTATATTATACAACAATAATAATAAACATACGTTTTATTAGAAATAACAATAATTTTGATTGTAATTTATTATTGACTTAAAAATAAAAACAACATTAAGTAGGATAGGACAAAGTAGTTATTTTAAATATTCTGTTACTTCCCATACTATTTCGACCTTTATTGTAACGTAATATTTTTTTTTGTAAATGGATGCGCGTCAGATTATTTTGTAGTTACTCGTAAGTGTATGTACAAATTCTTATGAGAATATTTGAAAACCAAATTAAGACTATTCAAACTTACCAACGTTCATTTGCAGTAGTACAACATACTACTTCTTCTAGTTCGATTCCCAGCCTCTTGGCAGGATTGCTAAGTACACACGAAGCACCCAACTACGACAACGACTCCTACGATATAGGTCTATCATAGACTTCAGGAGAAACCAAATCAAACCTAGACCCAAATCCTAAATAATAAAAAAATATACATATTACACCAATTACAATTTGAGTGTTGAATGAAAGTTATTAAGAGCATGTAGCGAATTACACATACACGTGTTCTGATCTATTTAGTGACTGGTGATTCTACATCGCACAAGGAACATTCTCGACCCGATACGTAATATAGAACTTCCTAACATCAACTGTAAGACGGGCTAGGCAGACCTAGCCTGTCTGGAGAATGGTACGTCCTTTCGTATTGGGAGAACGTGACAACCTTTCCTCCTCAGCGTACATACTGTGTGCATACATGAATACAATTAGATCATGCCAAAACAATTTCCGTATCACAAAAACTGTTTTATCACAAGTTCTATTTTCGTATATAATGTTTATCGTATCCATTTATTAGCTGTAAAATCGTTTAATTTGTTTGCGGTGGTCCGGTAAAGCGCTTTACGAGCTAGAGTGATTACAACATAGGCTTTACGATGCTCCTGAGATCAGGATGTGATACACGACCTCCTTTTATATATTAAACGTACCTCGGGTCGCGTACATTTTAAACACACCTATATATTTTTACACACATACATATTGTAGACACATTACACAATTATATGAAAGGAATGATCGTGCTGATCCTACAATATTTATCCTGGTTGCCAATCCAACCAATGACATCTGGCTTAGCACTGAGGATCGCTAACCACAAGACCAGCTAGGTACAATCAATTAATTGTAGCAGTTATAGGCTAGTTTTATAGTATACCGCCTCGTGGTTCAATTTATTAAGGATAATTTAGAGCAGTATAATTTATGGAGTATCAACATACATACATGCACACACATGGTTTATTTAAGGTATAAGGGTGCAAACGAGCAGATGGGTCAGCTGATATTAAGTAACTCCCGACGCACATGGACACCTACAACTCAAGAGTCACAAGTGCCAAGTGCATTGCCACCCATGGACCCCTACTGTTCAAGAGTCACAAATGCCTTACCGCCCTTAGAGTCAGGGGGAGAGGAGATTTGAGCTGATGAAATTTTACTCGGTGAAAAGCAACGATACATTGCTTAGCATTGCATTCTATGAGGCCGTGGTATCACACATGCTCTCCATGGATGAGTCACGGCTCTCTCACGACAAAGTTATTGATCATTTAGATTTCTTTGAATGAATTATCTTTCGCCGGCAGTTCCAGATAAAGATTTTTTGTATTATTAAATTGTTGCTTTATAAAATTTATACTAGAAGCATGTAGCTTACATTATATTTTACGACATTATAGTATATATTGCAATATAACATACCTTTCCAAGCTCAATACGAGTAGTTATGACCCTTAAGTAGGTACTCGGACTCCGTTCCATATTTTTACTTAAAAAATAGGTGCAAAAAAAATCTCTGCCCAAATTATTAGGTAGATGCATAAATAACATAAGCAATTGAAGAAGCTTTTTCAAAGATTTCACACCTATATTCATCTTATCATAATTGCTTGCTAATTGTTGTGTGCTCTTATGAGTCTTTGAACGGCAGAATTCTACCTTCATATGTTTCTGCTGCAATCATTTATTTAAATTTATCACCTTGAGGTATTGCGCACCTATAACCTAAAGTAACTGCTACTGCCGACATAATTAATTTATCACCGGCCTAATTTATTAGGACATGCCCATCGGGTCTGTCAATGGTTATGACAGACCTGATAACCTTTATATTTTTTTCTTTTTTTAAAAGACAGCCCCCGCATTAGGAATATATCCTGTGTCGCGGGGGACTTTACAAACGTACATAAAGAACACCCAGACTCAGAACATCAATTTGTGGATTACACAAAGTGTCGTCCCATGTGGAGTCGGACCCACAACACTCAGCGCAGTAGTGAGCGGCGTGGCGACCGCTTAAACCACTACGCCATCCGTGCAGTCTTAGTTACTATTTACTCTTGATCTTGATGTTAGGTAGTGATGGGCAAATCAAGCACTGGTTGACCTCCTATGATAGTGATTACAACCTGCCACTTTCAATGACCTTAAGGCATATGTCCTTGGCTTTCATGGTAAAATATATTTACTTGTCAAAAATATTGGAGAGCGACGCTACATTTACGAAGCTACACCACAAATACTTAGTAAATAAAATGTACTGGTTTTGACATATATGAAAAGCGGCATAGAAGTAGAACTAATAATAATGTGTACATTAAAACACTTTCTAAGGTTATGTGTTCGACATATTAATAATTCGACCCTGTCAATAATAATTAGCTTTACTGGCGTATGAATAATTATAAACATAGGTAATATAGGTTTAAGATGTATATGGGTTTATACACATACATCAACACAAATTCATATTTGGCGGACTGGCTTCAAACTAGGCCGAGGCTGTATTATAGTAATGAGACTAATAATAAACATACATATATGTTTTATATACGTTTTAGGCAAATTACACATAGATGCAAAACTAATAATCTTACTCATCACGTTACAGATTAAACAGTGAATGTTACAAACTACTAGATCAACACCCAGCCTTTAGAAGCAGATTAGATTCCTTTGTCCATCGTAATATTTAATTCTCTTGATGCAAAGTTTGTTATGCGGTAATTAGTACGAGCTTATTGTCATCCGTGCGTTTCAGATTTTTGATTAGCACAGTTTCAAAAAATCTTGTCGTATCCGGATTTATGTTCTCTGTTTTCAAATATTATTTCATTAATTTCTTCGAATATACATCCTATTTTAATACAACTATTTTTAAATTTAAAAACATCAACAGCTGTCCTCTTTTGATGTCAATGGTTGAATAGTTGTTGCAAAATGTAAGATGTAGTCTCAAAATAGACACTAAACCATAAGGCTTTCCAGATTAATCGTTTTGAACCCATTAGTTCACTTATATCATTAACATTGCCAAGAGATCTAAAACTAATATAGATGAGCTATTCTAATTAACATAAATGCATTCGGAACATTTCCTATATACGAGTAATACTAGATACAAAATAATAAATTGAAGGACAATTCATTCCTTCTTTATATCTCCTTCGAATGGACGGTATTTAATTTATTACGTACTTACAATGGGTTATGATAAGATATTATAAGATCATATATAAATGTTTATATAAATAGTTTACTTCCAAATCATGATCTGATGAGGGGATCCTACAAAAATCGAGGGAAACAATCAAATTTTACAGCCCCGACGACGTGTTTTAGATTATTTATCTAGCTTTATAAGTATTTGCGTTTAGTGTCAGTTATGTCATATTGTTGAGCTGATGATGGAAGGATCCTTGACCTATAATTTTTATTTTTTATTTGGAAGGGTTTATCTCACCTTTAATTCCATTCAAATGTGAAGAAAAATTACCTTTCCTACTTATGGAAAATTAAGTAATGTAGAACACAATATATTTTCGGGTTCAAATTTAACATCTTACTACCTTATCTTAGTAAAGTAACGACCATACTACAGTTTAGTACTATATATTACGGTACGTAGTGTTTTAAATATCGTACTTTTCTACTCATTTAATAACATATCTTACACTATAAATGATAAAATAAATCTTTTAAAAAAAAGTTGAACCGACTTTAAACAGTACTGACAAAGAGCACTAAAAATGAAAAATAATATCAAATCTAAGTCAAATCTAAGTAATCTAAATCTAATCTAAAAAATATATAATAATTACCCTCAATATAACAGGTAACATTATA